ACCATTCAAGCCTTGTGAGATCTGCCAACACAGTCGATGAGCATACCATTCAAGCCTTGTGAGATCTGCCAACACAGTCGATTTCCACGTTCGTTAAATGTCAGACAAATTGGCCAAAATTTTGAAGAGTCTTTGTGTTTGGGAAGGGCATAAGCCCACCCAAGTTTCCCTCCTTTTTTCCAACTCCCATACCTTGTGAAATCATGCTCCCGATACTCATCCTCCATCTTCGCAATGATCTCACTCTCTTCTTCCTTCCTTATTTGGTATCCCTCATTCCTGATGAAAGTACTACCCATCCCCGTGGCGTACACTTAGGCACACATAACTAGTGTTTCCCCCAGGTTTTTGTCCAACGGGGTACACACGAAACCGTCCATTCTTCTCTTCAATTCAACTACGGATTTCATGTTACTTACGTTCGTTCCCCTTGACTCATCCACACATCTCTTTGCCTCTTCTTCAATAATCTCAATCGTGCTCACATCCACGTTCAACCAATCAACCTTGACGCCTGAACTTCCTCCCTCACTCTCTTCTCACATCATGCACTCCATTCTTCCGGGATGTTCTTCGCATTCTTCGCAATCGCTGGGCGTTCCTCCCATGTACTTAGTCAGAAATGGACATGTCCCTTTTCCTTAGGTAGGGACGATCCGGTGCATTTGCACCTAGCAACTCCACTCGCTGCAAATCGGCGATGATTGTGGATGATATCCCCAACGGTTGGACTCCGTGTCCAGACTACTCGGGTTCGTTGCTTCACCATATCCTTCACCGTACCATCGAGAGGTAGCCCACCAATCTTCCTCTTCACTGACCTTACCACTTCCCCCTTCTTCAGCCGCTCATCAAATCTCACCTTATTAATCACACACCTATTAATCTGCACCCCAAATTTTGCCTTCACCACATCAGTAATCATCTTCTTCGCCCTCGATCGATTTTTTTTGTCAAAAAAATCTTCGCAGCAGCATAATAACGAGTCAAATCACTAATTTGCAATTTCTTCAATTTACACTGCTTCTTCTTGAATTTGAACATCCTCACCAATTCTTCCTTCAACTTCAATGTCGATGGTGATGCTAAAAATACAGTCTCGAATTCTTACCGCTTCTGGTTCTCTTACCTACGCGCACCCTTGTTTCACCAAAGCCTCCTCCACGCGCCAATTGCCAGTCCAAACCGATCCGTCGTTACTCATCATCTTGTATTCTTTCCCTTTCCCGGTCTTTGCCAGCTTTCGGAGCAAGCTAACAATTCGTAGGGTCTCATCCGTTATTCCGTCGATTTTTAGAGTAAGGATCTTCATAGATATAATCTTATCTACCTTCTCCTTCAAACTCGGTGCATGATTCAGTTCCTCAGCCTTCTTTCTTGCTCGCCGTCGTTCCTTCTTCCCCTTTCTCCTTCTGTTCTTCGTTCTTCGTTTCTTCATCTTCGTATTAAGCGACGGAGACCAAGTCTTGATCATTGACCTTTCGACCGCCTCCAGTTCCTATCTATCTTCATTCGAGAACAGTGGTATGGCCACATACTGTTCTACTCCAACCTTCGTCA